CTGCCATTTGCTAGCAATATAGCTTAAGGCCTTAAGCCAACCAAAGAACATATCAATCATAAATATTAGTAGACCTAAACTACAAACTGATAATGCAAACATTGGCTGGCAATATTATAGAGTTAATATTAGTAGACATGTTTAATGACAGCAACAATTTGATTGCTACTTCAAATCAAATTAAGCAAATACTCAAATCCTAAAAGAATCGGAAAGGGAAAAAACAAACTATAGACCCCACTCCACACACAGAATCAAACACCTAAAAATCTACTGGTAAAGGGAAAAATGTAACGATATCTTAAACTTACTAAATCAGTACTGTGAGACAAAGGAGATGTCAGGACTTCGAAGAGCAGAGATCTAAAGAACCTAGAACAAATTGAAAACCTATGAATCTGTAAGAATAAACTGAAATAGAAAATCGAACATTTGACAGATAAACTCACCAAATTGAACAGATATAGCAGATGGTAAAGAACCTAGTTCTATTACAATTAATTACACAAGCTGAAAACCCAACGAATAAATTGAAAGGGAAAATCAAACATTAATAAACGCACCAAATCGCAAGGTGACTTGATAGAGCCGAGAATAAAAGAACCTAGTTCATATCCAATTTATTATATAAATTGAAAACCTAAAAATCTGCAAGAATAAATTATGAAACTGACCAGATCGCAAATGGAGAGGCGAGGCAGATAAGATGCAAGAGACCGATAGAGCGGAAAGTAAAGAAAGAACCTTGTTCAAAAACAATAAATTAGAAAATTTTGAAACCGAATCTGCAAGAATAAATGGAAACATCGAACGATTCAGCAGCTCTTAAACTCACCAAAGAACAGTGCAGAGGTAATGATGTCGACGCCGGACACCGAGACTCGTGAGAGAGAGCAGAGTAGATGATGCCAAACACCAGAAGAGTGTGGAGAAAGTGATGACGGAAATCGAGGGATAAAGGAGACGATCTGTTGTAATCAATCTCATTTGATTTCTTGAACTACCCTATTCAATCCCCAGCAGAATGTTACCCACTGTTCCTGTCAAAATCAACAGCAAATGCCAACAAAAAAAACTAATTCTTGAAACCCAAAATTAGAACCAGAGAAAGAATTCCAAATACGAAATTAAAAAAAAAAAAAAAAACCCAAACCACAAGCACCACTGGAATAGCAATGCTGCTTGAGGTTTGACAATGAACGCCGATTGTGAAAACACAGGGAGTATTGCCATTCAGGTGCTCAAATCTCAAAATCCAGCTCAAAATTTTCTCTTCCATGATCGACGATCGAAGACCAGATTTTCGAAGATTGAATCAAGCACAGATAAGGAAATGATCATCAGAAATACAGAAGAGCAAAAAGACTCAAAAGTCATGTTCCAGGAGAGAAAGAGAGAAACAAAGCACTAAGCAAACAAACCCAAAACACTAAAAGTTAGCTCAAACCGCTGAACTCAACTTTCCCTTTTGATGATCGAGGACCAGCACTAGATTTTGCAAGAAACAATCAAACGCAAAAATGGAAATAGACACTGCAAAAACGGGAAGAGTAAGAAGACCCAAAAGCCCTGCTTCAATAGAGAAAGGAAGAAGCAAAGCCCCGAGGGTAAAACAGAGAAACACATTCTTTCTTGAGGGGTGGAAGAGGAGAGGTCATGAAATGACAGACATGCCCCCCATAACTGGTGATATAGAAGAGCAAAGTTTTAAGGGCAAAAGTGGAAGCTAATATCAAATGACAGAAAAACCACTCATGACTTGTGAAATAGAATGAGGAAACTTGGAGGGCAAAAGTGGAAAAAAAAAAGCTACCGTAACGATGTGGGAGGGTGGCCTCCCTCCCATTTACTTATTTGATTCTCTTTGTTTCATTATCTCTGTAAGGCTCTGGGTCTGGGGCTCTGTGATGAGTATAGTAATAGTAAGAGAAGAGTAACCTGTAAAATTAAAAATAAAATTTAAAGCTCTTCTTGTTTGCTTCCCCAATTCCATCAACCAGATCTCATCTCATCTCTTCTCATCATCAAATGTAATTAATTGTAAAACCCCTCTTTCTTTCTTTCCTTCCTTGTGCAAATTAACTGCATCAAAGAGGCAGGCAGGCAGGCAGGCAGGCAGGCAGGCAGGCAGGCAGGCAAGCAGGCAGCCATGTCTGATCCAACCTCCCTTCACTTGAAGAAGGAGCTCACCCAAATCCGAAAAGCTGCCCGCCTCCTCCGTGATCCAGGCACCACCTCCTCCTGGAAGTCCTCCTCCACATCTGTCCTTCCTCCTGCTTCTACTTCCACCCTTTTCACAAACCACTTCAATGCCGGCCATCATCCCCCTCCCGACCTGGAATTGCCCAATGCCAAACACAGCGCCGTCTTCTTGCATAACTGGAAGCATCAGAATCACAAATCAAATCATCAGTTCGATGACGATGCTGATCCTGATGCCGCCTCCTCTTCTTGGGTTCAAGACGACAGCTTGAGCGATGCCAGAAACGGTGCCGATTCCAAGAGTGACACCTATATACCGACCCTCGCTCTGCTTCCCTCATATTCAGGTGCAGCGATGCAAATCTTGTCTCTCCAAGACTCCTGCTTGGCTCCAGGAAAAAGGGTAAGAGAAATACTACTACTACTACTACTACTCCATCTCCATATGTTTTATCTACAAACCAACAACTAAAGGATGATTCTGACGAGGATCTCCACATTATCTCATCTGGAGCATCCCCTTCGCTACTCAACCCCAAACCAAACCCGAGAGGACTAAGGCTAGGTTGAAAAAAACTAGCAGAAAGCTGCACAAGGACGACTCCGGCGCTCTCGACTAGTTCTTATACTAGGTACTATAATCGTAATCCTCCTAGCAATGTTGGCTCTTGGGATGCCACCA